TTAAGCGAACTGCATTTATTCAAGACTTTCTTTATAAAACAAGAATAAAAGGAGAAAAGTGTCGATTAAGCTTTGCTATGTGTTTTTCAGTGCAATTAACAGTGAAACGTATTTCAAAATCAGACCGAAGAGCTATATTTTATAATTTAATTTCAATTGTTTTTTTGTTTTTGTTTTTTTAACTGACAAAATTACAAGGCTACGGAGTTGAACATTAGTAGTCATAAACCCAAAAAATTGGGATTAGTAGTCATAAACCCAAAAAATTGGGTCGGCTGTTCAACGACGGTTATAAAATTAAAAAAAAAAAAAAATTTCTACTTATCAGATTTGTTAGAGAAATTACATCTTAAAAATTAGTCAGCTCAAATATCGTTGAAAGTCATCAAATTTGAAATAAAGGTCACGAAAATTTTCATGATCGGTAGTTACCCTGGTCTTGCTTATTCCAATTAGTGAAAAAAGGAAGAAAATAAAAAAAGAAAGGTACGAAGTATATTAATGCATGGTAAATTAAATAAAATTATTACTAAAAGTAAACTAATTGCTAAACGATTTGTTAATCATTTAGCAATTTACAGTCATCGAAAGTTTTCATGGAAGAATTGTGAAAAAATGCGATAATTACACTTCCAAACATACGACTGACTCGTAATTTCATATGGTAGTCATAAACAATAGGAAAAAAATGTGTTTTTGAACACGATTGTCAAATCAAACATATAAGGCAACGTGTGGAAATGCAGGGCATTGGAATGCATGGTTAACAGCCAAGCTGTTTCTCATTAACAACGATTATGAATATTTTTCTCCAAGTTGAGTTTATCAACTGCGCCGCTTAAGTTAAATGACATATCTTTTTAAAAATAAAATGCGGTATAATTCTTTTTTTTTTCTTAAATAGAATTACAAACTAAAATCTTTAAAAAAAAGTTTTTTTGTTGTTTTTGATTAACATAATATAAATCGCAATAAACCTAATTTGCATAAACAAATTTACATTCAACTCCCTCCATTGAAAAATAGATAAAAATATCATTTGCTCAAAAAGGAAGCTCTTAAATTGTACAAAAGAACAAAATTCAAACGCGAAATTAGGACTTAAAGGAGATGTTATGCTTTCTTACACATGTCAACTTCTACTACGAAACAATAGCGAATGTTAACTTTAATCTTAAGTGCGTTGACATTTTCCTTTTTTACGCACTGATGACTATAACGATACACGAAACAACTGAAAAGAACAATATGAGTTAAATTTTTTTTAAAAAGTAATTCACTAAAAAAACAAATTTTTTATTAACCCTTTGCCAGTGTCGCCCGAACAAAGAATATATACAGTGGAGCATCGTTTATACGACGATCACTTATACGACGTTTACATTTATACGACGTTTTAGTGTGGTCCTAAATCATTCCTATTCATTTTAATGTAAAAATATATCGTTTATACGACGCACAGAATCGGTTATACGTCGGTTTTTAGATTTTGTTCACGTTTATTTAATTTTTTATTTTTACTTGTGTATTTTAAAACAGGGCGGAATTTGCCAACATGAATGATACAGAAAAGGGTGTCAACAAGAATGCTTGGATGTCGACCGCAATTTTTACTAGATGACTGAAAAAACTTGACAATGTTATGAAGAAGGAAAAACGAAAAATTTTGCTATTCATCGACCAATGTCCAGCGCACCCATCGATACTAATTATTTCGGAAAATGTAAAAGCTCCCTTTTTTCCTGCAAATTGCACAAGTGCGCTTCAGCCATTAGATTTGGCAGTGATTGGAAATCTAAAATTGCATCATAGAAAACAGTAAGTTCAACTCGCTATTCAAAGCATTGTAGAGACTAATAGCAGGAACTGCAATTTTTCTTCTTTGGTTATTTGTTTGTTTTGCTTTGTCTAATTTAGAAATTTATGTAAATCAACACGTTAAACATTAAAATTAACTGAAAACAGAGTTAGTTTCAGTTTTAGAAGTTAAAATCGATTATACGATGTTATCGTTTATACGACGTTTTTCGGTGGTCCCTTCGGCGTCGTATAAACGATTCTCCACTGTATATATTCTTTGGCCCGAATCCAGTTCGGGCGACTTCAACGTGCAGTATTTGTGACGCCCGAACAGATTTCGGGCATGAGAAAAATTAACGTTTCCATTTTGTGAAGCCCGAGCTGGTTCGTTTCTACTTGAGGATATTTAATTCACTATTTGTCTAATAGATGGTATTAGTGGTCCTAGTTTTTCCCCGATTACGACTTAAGTCGAAGGCAAAGAGTCCGATATGGGCTTATGTGCAACACCGTGCTTTGGGATATACCAGACTGTAAAAGATTTGTAAAGTTTATGCATTGAAAATCATATTGTTGTGTTTTTATATTATATTATACTAGTTATATTATATTTATCTTCAAAATTTTGTTTAATTTGCTCTAATTGAATAAGATGTGTGTGTAACCCATTATTTTTCTATGTGCATGTAAAAATTATAAATACAGTAGTTATTGCATTTAAAATTTACCAGTGCGTTACCGGTGTAGTGTAGCCAGTCTGGCAACATTAATTCAACAAATGTTACAAACCGCTAGAAATTTTAAACTAATTGCTTTCGAACGTTTAGCAATTACTATTATTTAAATAATAAAGAACTAAAGTATGAGTTTCACTTAGAATGTCCTGTCTGACTAAAATTTTCAATCGAAACTTATTGTTCCAGAAAGAGTTAAAAGTTTTCCCATTAGAGGGCCGGAAGAAAGTGACGCTTAATATGAAGTTTTGAATCATTTACATGTAGTGGTGTGGAAAATTTACAAAATAATCAATCATTAAAGCATAAACTCAGCTACCACTAAAATTCCCCCCCCCCCCAAAAAAAAAAACATAGAAAGTTGGCAGCCCTGCAGTTCTGCGGTCAGACAGTTTTTAAAAGGTTGGCATTCCATTTTGGTGCAATTTTAAGTTTTAATCAAAATTAATCTAAATTTTGCCCACATTTCCCAACTCCATATTAAATGTTATTTACACTAAATTCAGTGGCGCGACAGAGCCACTGAATTTAGTGTAAGAGAGCCAAGACCTATGAGCCATAGAGAGCCAAGACCTACTGTGCCCATCTAAGTTTTCTTGACCTTGGGTTTTGGGGTACAGGAGTAGATGTTCCGGTTTGGTGGTCAACCGAACGCGAAACCCCAGTATTTAGTCTCCAAACACGGTTGGCACTCATTTTATCGCTCCACTGAAGGGGTGAAAGGCGGGGTCACTCTTGCCCTGCCAGAGGATCGAACCCAGGATCTGCGGCACGAGAGCGCTAAGCGCTACTACACAGCCACCGGGCGTATTAATATCCACTTGCAAAAATTACATACATAAATTGAATAAATGCATAAATCGTCAAAAAACGCATATTTTGGCAACTATGGCTTTTAGACTGGCCCTTCAATTCGAAACTCCCTCCCTATGAGAATGACATAGGAATCATTTGTTGACATTCATTTCTTTTGGCAATTATTCAAAGGCATTCTTCTTTTGATGGGGAAAACGAAATGCATGCTTAAATTTTTCTGTGGCATGTACATCAAATAAAATCTATTTTCGAATTCAGAATTTGATAAAAAGAAAAAGAGTTTTCTTCTTTTTTGATAAAAATTTTTTTCCGCCTTTGAGATAGTTATGATTTTTACATTTAGGACAGATTTGTTGGAAAAATGTCACTTTGTATATCAGACAGAAACACTTTAAAGAAAACAACAATGTACAGAATATCGGGTGAGTGTGTAATGGGCAATGGCATATTAGCCTTAAAGAAAACAGCAATGTACAGAATATCGGGTGAGTGTGTAATGGGCAATGACAATGGCATATTAGCCTTAAAGAAAACAACAATGTACAGAACATCGGGTGAGTGTGTAATGGGCAATGGCATATTAGCCTTAAAGCAGTGGCGTGCCAGCCGGGGGGGCAGANGTAATGGGCAATGGCATATTAGCCTTAAAGAAAACAACAATGTACAGAATATCGGGTGAGTGTGTAATGGGCAATGACAATGGCATATTAGCCTTAAAACAACAGCATTGTTGAGAATACTTGGCAACTGTTAACTAGATGATGACCTTTTCTACCAAAAAAGTAACAGAGTGGAGTAGAGAATACGCAACAAACGTTGACAAAAATTGACAATAGCCCATACATTCTTGCCAGGTTATTATCCAAGCTCATTCTGCTAATATTAAAAGCTTTTTTTTTAAAAAAAATTGGTAAATATGACAAAAAATGGGCTTTAATTACAGTACCCGGTGTGCACATTCTTGGTACCCATATGCCCGGTATTTTCTACAGTATTTTATCTTTACAATGCTAACAACCGGAAATCTCAGATCCCTACAATATTTAAAGTAGAAGTGAAATAACTGATTGTGAGAATTTTATTTGCTTAATATTGACAGGACTTAAAAACTTAATTTCGCATTTATCAAGTCTTAGTTATTTGTTTAAATTGTTTATAAATGGTAATTGTCAAAATCATTGTAAATCGAATTTATTAAATTAAAATACTAATTATATATATATATATATATATATATATAAAAAAAGATGAAAATCATTTTTTATCATTTAATGATAATAATGATAATGTTCANTATATATATATATATACACATCGTAAAAACGAGAGAAGTGGCATGCTTGTATTTATATATACATACGCAATTAAGCATGTTGCAGTGTTTTAAATTGCTTACAAAATTTTAAAAACATATGCTCATTTTGATTATTGATTTGATTTACAAATTTATTATTACTTTAAATACTGTGAGAACTTCCGGGCAGGGAGCTTTATAATATATAAATGCTAACCAAAAAAATAAATAAAAATATAGCTAGAAAATTTAGTTAAACAATTAATTAACCTTTTTTTTCTCTTTGAAACATCTTAATATTTTTATAAGCGCTTTAATAATAATTATAAATGAAAATGTCTTTAACAGTGACTCACCTTGAGAAATCAAAGCGGCAGCTAAGAGGACAAGGTATAAGCACCCTGTCATTTTTTGTCTATTTCAGACAAAGTTCTGCTATAATCTGTATATTAACTCTTCGCTTTCTAAAAACCATAAGACAGAGAGAGACAACCAGAATGTTACTAAACCTGATTGCAAATGCCCGACGGCAACTTTTCTGTTTTATCCTGCTGACACAGAAATTATGCTCGGATAAGAAAGTTGTTCCTCCTTCGAACAATTGATGAATTTTTATTGAAACGAAGACGAAGAAGAAGAAAAAAAAATTCTGTTTGTTTGAGGTCGTCGAGTTGCATTTATTAAGAAAGTGGTTTGATGATGTGTGTGATAGTCCTTTTGTGAAGTTTTCATTTGGGCAGAACGGATCAGGTCAGCAGTTTGAAGTTAGGTTCACGGTATAAAAGATTCTAACCAATGATTTTGTTGTGAGGTGACGGATGGTTACCTGGAATTCGTTTAGGTTTAATGGTTTTATGATTATGCTCTCCTCCTATCTGTAGCGATGCGGTATTTAAGTTGCAGCCGTAATATTTAAAAGAAGAGGTGAATGATATGTTTACCATTGTCAGCTGTCATTTGAGAGTAGATTTTACTAAATTTTTCTTAACTCGTGTCGGTAAGGCAAAAATCTTGCAATCAAAATTTCGACAGCTTTCTAACTGACTAGAGTGTCTAGAGTTTTCAAATCTCATTTCGTTCTTAGCAGTGGTGAACCGTTTTAGCGGCAGGGCTGGCTTTAGCCAGAAGCGCCAGTTCGAGTTGGGGTGAATAAATTACTTCTGCAACGTGGCAAAAAAAATTTTTGTCCAAAAGTAATAAATAATAAAAAAATAATAAATAAATAAATAATAAATAAATAAAATGATAATCACATTAATAATGGTGAGAGATGAATAGTTTTTAATCTTTTCCTTCCAAAATTAATAAATTTTTCTCTTCATTAGTGACCTTCATTTATCAAGTAAAAGATTCTTTTGGAACGGCTAAGGATTTTTCCCACTTGTTATTCCCCTAGCCTAAAACACAAATCAAGGCCTATAGTCTGTCTACGGTAAGAACTCCCCCACCCCCACCGCAAAGTCTGAGGCTGTCTGCTGCTAGGAAACAAGAATATAGTTTGTCTAAAATAAGAACTCCCCAGAACTAGTGTGAATGCATTTTCAGTAAATCCTTTGTACACACATTAGCTCTTTCCACCTACTTTCTGACGGCATCAAGATACTACTTTTGAAATAAAAATGATGGCGCCATCTACCAATTTCATATTTAAATATATACTTTAATTTAACATTTCTAATAAGTTCTAAATTGAACGGATATTTTTAAAAATATTATTTTTAATACTTTGATTGCAATTTTTAAAGCGTAATTAATTTTATATAGCCTCAGAAATATTTTTTCATATTTTTTCTTGTATTTTAAGCAGAAATAGGGAGAAAAAAATTCAAAATTTAATCAAGCGAGGAGCTAAATAAATAAATCCAATTTTAATTATGTGGAATGATGTAATATTATATAATTTACTTAAAATTCAGATTTTATTAAAATTTTGTAGAATTATTTAATTACATAACAAAAACTAACTATAGACTTATAAATGCTTATTTTAACTTGCGTCTTTATTTTCATTGAGCGATATTAGATTTTACGTTTCTGTTTATTGACTATACTTAAATAGTCATTGTCTACAGTTTAAACTTTATTTTATTTCTTACATTTATTTTCATTTGATCGATTATTTTTCTGCTTATTGATTAATTATGACTATTCTTAAAGAAAAAAACAGTCATGAAATTTAATCTGTTTCTTATATCTATTTAAATTTAATCTTAAAATTATAATCTAGTTCTTACATCTATATTTATTTGATAGATTATGTTTCTATTTATTGATTAATCAGGAAAAAAAATCTTAAAAAAATATTTATAATTTATTCTGTAAAATTTAATCTATTTCTTATAAATAATTGGGAAAAAAAAAGCATTTACCATGTTTAATTTTACAAAACAATTGTGATTTGTAAATTTACTAAACGTTTGTGAAAATATTTAATTATATGTTAGAATAAATATAAGTGAAAATTCTAAAAAATTCACCAATACCATGAACACCAATGTTCGTAGGGAGGCAAGAGTGGAAAGTTTTTATTAATTTATCAAAATACCATGTTTAATTTATTTTTCAACTCTATAGAATTTTTTAAACAATAATTTGGACTTTTACCTGCATTACAAAGCTGTTCAGTTTTTCTATAACATTTTGTTAAGGGGGTTGGCTTGGTTTACGCTAGTCCCACAACACAACGAATTTGGAAGCTTATTATGTATTCGCTTAAGACAATTCAGAAAGGTATGGTTAAAGCTAAAGTTAATTAAAATCTAAGTCTTATTAAAGATTTAATATCAACATATTTTAATAAAATTATTAATTAAAATAGAGCATTAACCACACAGAGAAAAACAGTTTGAGAGCAAATCAGTAAACTATTATTCAATTTGATTTATTTAAAAGTAGAAAACCAATTTTAAGTTGAATCAATTTAAATAATATTATTTTTAAATTGATGATAAAATGGTCAGAATGGGCTACACACAGAGTGCATAGCTTAGCCATATTTCCCTTTCCCTCACTGGAGCATTGTAAACAATTGGCAAAAACGATGACGGGACCGTTTGCGGTTGTTCTGTCTTAGTTTAATGTATGACAAAAAATAAATATGTATAAAAAACTTTATTTCATTCACTAATTCATCTGTCTCGAATTATATTCTTTTTTCTCTTTTTTTTTTCGCCGTATGCCTGTTCAGGTTTTGGTTGTGCGATTGTTCCTGTTTTTCAGTGGCGCCATCTATGGCCAGGAATTCGACTTCTACCACGCCATTCACACAATCGCAACCCGTTTATAGGGCGGGTCACATTCACACACAAAGGAGAAAGGACATAGAAATTCGAACCCAGGACCTTTCTGATGCAGGGACAGTTCCCTGCCCCCTACACAGGCCAATCGGTATTATATTCTTTTGATTTGCTTGATAAAACAACTCCTTTAATTTTTCTTTAAACCTTTAAAAAGTAGATTAATATAAAGGTTTCGTGCTAAATTTTTTAACTGAGATTAAAACTACCTTTTGTAAATGTATATTATTCTGTAAAATAATTATAAGATAGAAAATAAATGACATCAAGTGTGTCATATTTGTAACAAATTCACATTCCTTCCAATGGCATATCCACACTAACCCCACTGCCGTGTGTCTACACTAGCCCTACGAAGACATCTGTTTGCTTAGGTCTAATGCCAATGCTGGTTATCTGAAACTATACATAGCAAAAGTTAGTACCAAATTAAGTAAAAAAAACGTTTAATTTATAACATATTATGACCTTTTTTTTATTCTGAAAATAAAATACGTTAATAAAAGAGTAAAGAGAAAATTAGAAAGTTAATTTTGCACTTTAAAAACCTTTCTTACAAATTTCTACTAAAATATTCGCAAAGTGAAACCATTCATCTTCACATGAAAGTGAACATCGATCATACCAATGTACAAGATCTCACTGAAAATTTTTTTGTATATATATAT